AACTAGCCATGCATAGACAAGCAGAACTACCCCTTAGGGTAGAACTTCAGATTCCTAGCGGTCAGACATCTGAGACACTTCAAAGAATTCCAGTGTGAGAGAAGACTTGACCTTTTAGGTCAACTGGAAAAGTCATCTATTATTATGGATTCCATGGAGGAAAAAGATAAGGAGTGAAAGAAATGTGTCATCTCTTCAGCTCAGCATTATCAGAGCCTTGTGACATTAGGAGACAATTCTTCACAGGTCTCTGGCATTTCTGCATATCTTAGAGTCAGAGCACTCCCTGCCTTTATTGCAGACTATCTGTCTGTGCAGCTAACAGCCCTGGAAGGTATAGTGTCTCCCTCCAGGACAGGGTCAGGTGTGTTTACTGCCCAATATAACAAAGATAGTAGCTTTTTTCAGGGCAAAGTTCAGATAGGCTTATTGTCTGTCACAAAAGATTTCATTTTTCCGAGACAGGGTCTCCCCTGTCACCCAGGCTGGAGTGCAGTGGTGCAATCTCAGCTGACTGCAACCTCCACCTCCCTGGCTCAATCCATCCTCCTACCTCAGCCTCCCAGGTAGCTGGGACCATAGGAATATGCTACCACCCCTGACTACTTTTGTATTCTTTGTAGAGATGGGGTTTCGTCATGTTGCCCAGGCTGGTCTCCAACTTCTGGGCTCAAGTGATTCTCCCACCTCGGCCTCCCAAAGTGCTAGGATTCCAGATGTAAGCTACTGCACCTGGCCCATCACAAAAGATTTGAGTTCACTAAGCCTGAAATTCCTCTCTTGTAATGTAACCCACAACAAGTGCAAGAATTACCTGGGCCTGCCGGGCACGGTGGCTCATGCTTGTAATCCCAGCACTTTGGGAGGCCGAGGCAGGCGGATCGTGAGGTTAGGAGATCGAGACCATCCTGGCTAACATGGTGAATCCCCGTCTCTACTAAAAATGCAAAAAATTAACTAGGCATGGTGGTGGGCGCCGGTAGTCCCAGCTACTCGGGAGGCTGAGGCAGGAGAATGGTGTGAACCCGGAAGGCAGAGCTTGCAGTGAGCCGAGATCGCCCCACTGCACTCCAGCCTGGGCGACAAAGCCAGACTCCGTCTCAAAAAAAAAAAAAAAAAAAAAAAGATTTACCTGGGTCTTTCGTCACCCTGTGGAAATTGGGGTTTGAGAAACCAACGCAAAAGTAGGGATACTAGGCTGCTGCTCTTACTGTAAGTACTAAGCCGTATTTTGCCTCTGACCCAGGAGTCTTCTGTCTTCTGTTGGCATTCATGAGTCAGGCTTGTTAGCATGCAAGTACAGCAAAATCTCAAATCAATCGCAATCCTTGACAGTCAGGGATCTGTATAGGTAATTTTAGCCCAGGACTCAAGATTATTGTTGTTAGCAATTCCAAGAACTGTGTCACATAGACACCTGGACACACAGAGGGGAACAACACACACTGGGGTCTACTGGAGGACAGTGGGTGGGAGAAGGGAGAGGATCAGGAAAAATAGCTAATGGATACTAGGCTCAATACCTGGCCGATGACATAATCTGTACAACAAACTTCCTTAACACACATTTACCTATGTAAGAAGCCTGCACATCTTGCACATGTACCCCTGAACTTAAAATAAAAGTTAAAAAAAAAAAAAAAAAGATCCTGTGTTGGAACTTTCAAACAAAACTTTTCTGACAGCCCAGATGGAAGAGGTGTTTTACTTCTGATTGTCAGACTGCATGGACACACGCATAGTATTGTACTTTTTGTAAGACTCAAAATTCAAATCTTCTTCCAAAAGTTCCTCCAAAAAGTCTCAGCACTGAACAAAGTTTAGGGGACAGGCAGTACTGTCCATCCGTAGCAGAGGCCACACAACTGGACCAGATGTTTTCAAGTTTTCCTCCCTGATGGCAGCCAAGAACCTCACCCCACAACCACCACCGTCAAGGGCTCTGCTTTCTCTTTCCTGGTTGGGATTGGGCTCTTCCCCTCTCCTCCGTGTTGCTTCTCCCCCCTAAACCCTTGAAATCCATCTCGCTCCCTTCTTCTCCACCATCCACACCTTCATCATCTCTTTCTAACCTGCCTCTAGCTTTCAGCTTCTCTCCTGTCAATCAGATCCTACACTGCCATCAGAGTTTACAACTTCCTTGAATCCCCATTGCTTTCAGCAGGAGTTTTTGAACTAAGCAAACTTGATGGCTGCTAGTTTCTGTTTGATATATTGAACTTTTGCTAAGATTATTTTGAGAAAAAAAAAAGGAGGGAGGGTGCCACTGCTCTAAAACTTTTTGGAAAAACACTAGTAGCCTGAAAGATAAACTTCAAAGCCTTTACTTTATTGTTCAAAGCTCTTTATAATATTGCCCCATCCCTGATCTTGCTTCCTCAAGAGCCCTACACTTCAGTTGCTCTTCCTACACCCACATCACCATCTTACACACCTAAAATTTTGCCACACTCCTGTTTTGATCAAGTGTTACTCCCCACAGGATGAAGTCCAAGTTACTTCAGCTGGTGTTTATCACTCTCCTCCATCCTGCCCTAGCCTCCTTCCTGATGCAAAACTCTTCCATCCAGCAAATTTGACTTCTTGCCAAGGTAGTGGAAACTGGGCTCCTCTGAGCCTTCTTTGAACCTTTGCTTACATATGACTGCACCCTTTCTCTGTTGTCCATCCCCTTCACCCTGGTCTACTCCCAGTTTCCACCCCAGACACAAGACATGTATAACTATAATGGACAAAACCATCTCTGATCACTCCAGCCTACGGAGAATGCTGTGTGTATGTGTGTGTGTGTGTGTGTGTGTGTCCAGCCTATCTGTTAACTCCTTGAAGGCAGAAACACCACACTCTGCTTCATACTTCATCCCCTCTCTCCAACACCCACACACATGCTCAGTACCTGGTAATAGCAGACTCCCAGTAAGTATAGGTTGCTTCGTGGATCTCAAGAACCTTTCCTGTGGCTCTCCCCACTTTTCCCACTTGAGTAACACAAATTCCTGAGGCACCATGCTATCTCTGATTCATGACTCATGCTGTGTGCTACCCCACCATCCCATTCTCAACCTGGAATGCACTGTCTTCCCCCTTCGTTAGCATTTCTACTTATTCTTTTTTTTTTTTTTTTTTTTTTTTTTAACAGTTGCTCTGTCGCCAAGCTGGAGTGGGCGGATCTCAGCTCACTCAACTCCTCCGGTTACCATTCTCTGCTCAGCTCCGAGAGCTGGACTACTGCCCCACCTCCCCTAGTTTTTTTTTTTTAGTGAGGTTTCACTGTTGCCAGATGTCTTGATCTCCTGACTCGTATCCGCCGTCTCGGCTCCAAGTGTGGGATTCAGGCTTGAGCCACCGCCCGGCCTCTACTTATTCTTTAGATGAAGTTCAGTGTCACCTTTTTGTCTAAGCCAAGTTCTGTGTCATCCTAGACAACTTTAGTCATGAGGTTGGTCCATTCTGCGTCTGGATTCAGACATAAGCTCCTTGAACTTATGGTTCATTTCATAGATTTATATCACATTTTGTAGCCCCCCTCCCCCCAAAAAAGATAATAGCACACTCACCTCCAGGAGCCTTTCCACCATTGCCCTTATCACCTTGTATTATCATTGTCTGCTTCTTTGACCAGCTTCCTCTAAAAGAGGAGGAGTTTCTTGGGGGAAAGGACTAGGTTTTATCTAACTTTGTGATCTCAACACATCACAGATTCTATGCGCTTAATAAATACTTGTGAATGAAAATGTGAATTTTTTCAGCTACTCAACTAGGATAGTTAATTTTATGTTATTAAATTTTTTTTTTTTTTTTTGAGACGGAGTCTTGCTCTGTCACCCAGGCTGGAGTGCAATGGTGTGATCTCGGCTCACTGCAAACTCCTACCCCCGGGTTCACGCCATTCTCCTGCCTCAGCCTCTCCAGTAGCTGTGACTACAGGCACCCACCACCACGCCCGGCTAATTTTTTGTATTTTTTTTAGTAGAGACAGCGTTTCACCATGTTAGCCAGGATGGTCTCGATCTCCTGACCTCGTGATCCACCTGCCTCAGCCTCCCAAAGTGCTAGGATTACAGGCATGAGCCACCATGCCTGGCTTTATGTTATTAAATTTTAAGGACTTTATCTAACTGGATGAAGCCCACTGCATAATGAAAGGTAATCTGCTTTACTCAAAGTCTACTGATTTAAGTGGTAATCACATTTAAAAGAATAGTTTGTCCAGGCCGGGCGCGGTAGCTCACGCCTGTAATCCCAGCACTTTGGGAGGCCGAAACGGGCGGAGCACAAGGTCAGGAGATCGAGACCACGGTGAAACCCCGTCTCTACTAAAATACAAAAATTAGCCGGGCGCGGTGGCGAGTGCCTGTAGTCCCAGCTACTCAGGAGGCTGAGGCAGGAGAATGGCGTGAACCCGGGAGGCGGAGCTTGCAGTGAGCCGAGATCGCGCCACTGCACTCCAGCCTGGGCGACAGAGCGAGACTTCGTCTCAAAAAAAAAAAAAGAATAGTTTGTCCAAACATCTTTAGTCTAATGAAGCTGAAACAAAGAATTAACCATCATAGACTTCAAACCAAAAAGCAAACATATTATTTATTTATGCAAGTAATACATGTTAATTGAGAAAAAGCTAGAAGACATAGATTTTTTAAAAGTTATAACCTTATAGTCTAGAATAATTACTATAAATATTTTTATATTTGTCCTTTCAGATACTTTAAATGTACATGTAGCATATGGTTACAGTTTTCCTTTTTTTTTTTTTTCCCGAAACAGAGTCTTGCTCTTGTCACCCACACTGGAGTGCAATAGCACGATCTCAGCTCACCACAACCTCTGCCTCCCAGATTCAAGTGATTCTCCTGCCTCAGCCTCCCAAGTAGCTGGAATTACAGGCATGTGTCACCACACCCAGCTAATTTTTCCATTTTTAATAGAGATAGGGTTTCACCATGTTAGTCAGGCTAGTCTCAAACTCCTGACCTCAGGTGGTCCGCCCACCTCGGCCTCCCAAATTTTTGGGATTACAGGCGTGAACCACCGCACCCAGCCACAGTTGTAGCACACTATCCTTACTGGTTTGTAATCTAATTTTTAAATTTATTAATACAGCAAGAATGTTTTTCCACGTCAATAAATATGTAGCTTTGACATCAGTTTCAAAGGCTCAAAATATTCCACTTCGTGGACATAAATTCATTTAATAAATTGATCTCCCATATTGCAACAAATATGTTGTTCCAAATTTTTGCTATTATAAAAAGTGTTGAGATAAACATCCTTGTCTAAAATCAGATCATTTTTATAAGTTTTTCATGCATATACAACTTTATGTCTTAATATAACACATTCTCTTTTCCAAAGCATTATGTACCTGGAATACAGATCAACCAAATGAATGCTGAAATTGCAGAGCATGATACCAGGTCTTGGGGTGCAAAGGAAGCCTGTGGGACACAGGGTAAGTCCTGGATGACTAGGGCAGGGTCAGCTACATAATTTGTAGGTCCCAGTACAAAATTAAAATGTAGGACCCCTTTTTCAAAGAGTAAGGGTCATTAAAGATACTAAAATATAAGGCTTTTTTTCTTTCTTCCGCTTTCTCTCTGTTGACTTGTCATGGTGTTTTTCATTTGCTACTAGTGTCATTCTAAGTATAGAAAATTGAAAATTTAAATTATTAGCATAAATTTTACTGTTCATCTTCATATTGTGCAATGCCAGTTTTAAATGCAAACAAGCACATTTAACTCATATTTGAAATCATCAAAATTACACAGTTTGTGTTTCAAAGCTCAAATGTGCATGTGTATTTCATTCTTACTAGGACAGTGGAAACGCTGTGCAAAACGAACTCAACTATTTTTATGTCACTTCTCAATACACGGACATTATACTAATACTCTCTATCCTACGCTTACTGATGAGGAAGGAAGGACTGAAGAGAAGAGGAACTATGGGTTGTGCAATCTTTTCCTCTCCTTCTATGTCATCTTCTTTAGCATAAGTGGTTGACTGATACAGCAAGAAAAGACGATAAGTTCCTTAATTGTTTTTGTTTCTTAAAATGCCTTCTCTTTGTATGTGAAGCAAGTTCTAGTTGGAACAGAAGGTGTGACATCTAGGACTGTAATATCCCCACTTACTCAGTTATAGATATACCACACTTGCACTCACGTGACTTCCTTGTATTCATTAAACTCCCACATGCTGTGAATCCACCAGATTCTGTGCTCAGGGGGCCTCGGGAATACTACAGGCAAATGGGGTAGAAAGGAACGGCAGACACACATTCCTCCTCTGTTTACACGTGTGCTTCATTGTCCTGCTGGACTTCACTAAATAAACACAAGTTCAAAGATAAAATCATTAGAATTTCAAGATAGCAACAGACGAGTATTACATCAAGCATGGGGCCCTTCTGAGCATGGCCCTGTGTGACTACCCAGGGCACATGCCCATGAGGGTGGGTCTGTCTGGTAAGCCATAGATGTCACTAATGAGACAAGGTGATATGGTCAGATGATTCATGTGTGGTCACCTCCCAGCACCTCCCTGGGATGAGTTCTTAGCCACCTGATCTTTGAACCTGAGGCCAATATTTTCCTTCCCGTTCTGTGACAGCCGCCACGCTCTGCCGGAGTGACAACCATGTTATTCCTCCATTGCCCTCCAGCCAGCCAGTGCTTGGGTGCATAAATGGGGAGGGTCGGGTTTGGGCATGCTCCTTGCAGGACAAGGTAACAGCCATCCCTGCCCTGGGTTGCAAGTGCCTGGTAATGATGTGTTTGGCAAGTGACTCAGTGTGTCCTCGCAACCATCTCAGTTTCCAAGCATGTCCCTGCAAGGAGGTTGCAACCTCTTGGGGGTTACCTATCAGACATGGCCTGGAAGAGTTGGGCCCATGGGAAGGAAAGAGTGATTTTCCAGCATCCAAGCTTCACATTTTCACTTTGCACTGGGCCCTGCAAGTTATATAGCTGGCTCTAATGGTCCCTCTCCTTAGGGTTTCCTCCCTCTTTTCTCTCCCTGTTTAATAAAAAAAATTAAAGAAAAACACCAAAAATAGTAATTATCATTTATTGGGTTCTTTCCTATATGCTAAGCACTAAGCACTGTAAGGAAAACAAGACATACAGGCGGTAATCCCAGGTAGATTTTGGGAGTAGAGTAAGTTCTGGTGAAGCAGAGATGGCTTCCAGGTGAGGGGTCTGAAAGTCAAAGGCATTGGAGCTGCCCCTGAGGGTTCACGGCAATTTCAAACAGTCACGGCCTCCTTGTTCTGCAGGGAGGTCAGGGTGGGATGCTCTGTCCTTGGATGATGGGAACAGACAGAAAAGAGCCACAGGATCTGGAGAAACAGCAGAGAACACATTGTAACATCCTAGCACTAGATGACCCAGCGCCTCCTGAGCACCTATTCTGGGTTACTTCCAGGTCTTTTTAATCCAAAGAGAGTGGTATCTGGATTTAGGCAAGCACTGTGAAGTGCAGCCCTCCCAGGCGCTTCTTTGCCAGTAAATAAAATCTCATCTATTCATTCAGAGGCAAGTCCTTACCTCCTTGCCATTATTTCAGAGAACAGGGCTTCTCTGGGGTTTAGAGAACCAAGACAGGGGACCTCATACAAGAGGATGGGCTAAGAGATCAGGAAGGCAGCTGGCTTTTTGGCTAGCTCACTGGGGAGCTAGCCAAATTGGGAGATTTCCAATTTCAAATTGGAAATACTTTACACCAATGGTTTTCAGGTTTCAACATGGATAAAAATCACCTGGCAGGCTAATTAAAACACAGAGCTGAGCCCGATTCAGAGTTTTGATGCAAAATGTTTGAGGTGGGGCCTGAGAATTTGCATTTCTAACAAGCTCTCAGGCAAGGTCAGTGCTGCTGGTCTGGGTGTAACACATTGAGATCCACTGATTTAAGCCCGGAGCAGAAAGGCTGTAAGGACCTTTGCAAAAAGGACCCCACAGACACCATCTCCTTCATGGCCATCATGGAGCTCCTGCCCTATCTCCTGCCACTTCCCCATCTATCCAACTACTAGCCACACTTGACTTCTTAAGGTTTCCAAAACTCTCCCCAACTATATGCACTTCTATGTTTTTGTTTTTTTAAATTCAGAGCCATATAAAAAATAAAATAAGATTTGCATCCATTGAAGTACAGGGAGAAAAAAGAAAATAAAATAAGAGTGAATTCTAATTCCGCTCGTCAGAGGAGCAGAAATGGAGGATAACTGCCACTGACGTTTAAGTGCCTGGAAAGAAAGAACTTAGTGAAAGAAGCTTCCTTGTAAGTTGCTAGCAAGTCACTTTGGAACAAAGGTTGCAAATAAATCTCTCAAGAGCCTCCTTTTAAATGCCAAAGTGTGAGATAGCAGGCACCATCGCCTCAAGAAAGATGGTAAAAGACGTTCTCTCCCACGGATTGCCTTCCTGAGGAAGGTTTGCCGATGTTTCACAATACTATAATATCTTCTCATGTAGCATTTTACACTTTTGCATATGTTGTCTTTTTTTTTTTTTTTTTTTTTTGACAGAGTTTCACTTTGTTGCCCAGGCTGGAATGCAATGGCACGATCTCGGCTCACTGCAACCTCTACCTCCCAGGTTCAAGCGATTCTCCGGCCTCAGCCTCGGGCATGTGCCACCACGCCCAGCTAATTTTTGTATTTTCAGTAGAGACAGGGTTGCTCCATGTTGCCTAGGCTGGTCTTGAACTCTTGACCTCAGGTGATCCGCCCACCTCAGCCTCCCAAAGTGCTGGGATTACAGGCTTGAGCCACCGCGCCCGGCTACCTATCTTGTCTTAATTAGGGTAATTACCCAGTTCCAGTCCCTGGCAACCAATAACCTGAGCTATGCCCCTACAGTTTTGTTTTTTAAAAAAAATCTTATAAATGGGACCTGCAGTATGCTGCCAGTTACGTCTGCTTTCTTCCATTTAGCATATTGCTTTCGAGATCAAGTAGTTCACTTATTGACAGTTCAGTCCTTCATATTACTGAGTAGGATTCCATCATGTGGATGTACCATGGTTTGTTTATTAACCAGTTGAGGGACACTGGGTTGTTTCCAGTTTTGAGACATTATGAGTAAAGCTGCTACTCCCATACAGTAAAATATATTTTTATTTCTCTTGCTTTAATATTTAAGACTGAGATTTCTGGGTTATGTGTAAAGAATATCTTTAACTTTATAAGAAATTGCCAGACTGCTTTTCCAAAATGGCTATACCATTTTGCATTCCCATAAGCAATGCATGAGAACTCCAGCACCTCTGCATTCTGTCAGCACTTGATATCATCAGAATTTTTTATGTCCTCTAGTAGGTATGTAATGATATCTCATTACGATTTTATTTTGCTAATTACTAACGATGCTGAGCATCTTTTTCTGCACTTATTTGCCATCCATATCTCTTCTAATGTGAAGTGTCTGTTCAAATCTTTCGCCCACATTTTTAAATATGCATTTTTTATTTCAATAGCTTTTGGACTATAAGTGGTTTTTTTATTACATAGATAAATTGTGTAGTGGTGAAATCTGAGATTTTAGCACACTCATCACCTGAGTAGTATACACTATACCCAATACGTAGTTTTTAATCCCTTATCCCCTTCCCACCCTCCCTCCTCCTAAGTCTTCAAAGTCCATTATACCACTCTCATTGCCTTTGTGTACCCATAGCTTAGCTACCACTCATAAGTGAGAACATCCATACTTGGCTTTCCATTCCCGAGTTACTTCACTTAGAATAATGGCCTCCTGCTTCATCCAAGTTGCTGCAAGAGATATGATTTCATTCTTTTTTATGGCTGAGTAGTATTCCATGGTGTATATATATACTATGTTTTCTTTATCCACTCGTCGATTGATGAGCACTTAGGTTGGTTCCCTATTTTTGCAATTGTGAATTGTGCTGTGATAAACATATGAGTGCAGACGTGTTTTTGATATAATGACTTATTTCCTTTGCGTAGATACACCGTGGTGGGATTGTTGGATGGAATGATAGATCTACTTTTAGTTATTTGAGAAATCTTCATACTCTTTTGCATAGAGGTTGTATTAATTTACATTCCATCAGTGTATAAACATTCCCTTTTCACCATGTCCATGCCAACATCTACTGTTTTTTGACTTTCTAATAATGGCCATTTTGGCTGTGGTATCTCATTGTGGTTTTAATTTGCATTTCCCTCATGATTAGTGATGCTGAGCATTCTTTCATATATTGTTGGCCATTTGTGTATCTTCTTTTGAAAAGTGTCTATTCATGTCATTTGCCCACTTTTTGATGAGATTATTTATTTTTGCTTGCTGATTTGTTTGAGTTTCTTGTAGATTCAGGATATTAGTCCTTAGCTAGATGCATAGTTTGCAAATATTTTCTCTCATTCTGTGGGTTGTCTGTTTACTCTGAAGATTATTTCTTTTGCTGTGCAGAAGCATTTTAGTTTAATTATTTTTATTTATTTTTTATTTATTTTTATTTTATTTTTTTTTTTTGAGACGGAGTCTCGCTGTGTCTCCCAGGCTGGAGTGCAGTGGCGTGATCTCGGCTCACTGCAAGCTCCGCCTCCCGGGTTCACGCCATTCTCCCGCCTCAGCCTCCCAAGTAGCTGAGACTACAGGCGCCCACCACCACGCCCGGCTAGTTTTTTGTATTTTTAGTAGAGACGGGGTTTCACCATGTTAGCCAGAATAGTCTCGATCTCCTGACCTCGTGATCCACCCACCTCAGCCTCCCAAAGTGCTGGGATTACAGGCTTGAGCCACCGCGCCCGGCCGCATTTTAGTTTAATTAGATCTCATTTATTTATTTTTGTTTTTGTTGCATTTGCTTTTGGGGCCTTTGTCACAGATTCTTTGACTAGGTCAATGTCTAGAAGAGTTTTTCCTGGATTTTCTTTTAGAATTTTTATGGTTTCAAGTCTTAGATTTAAGTCTTTAATCCATCTTGAATTGATTTTTGTATATGGTGAGAGATATGAATCCAGTTTCATTCTTCTACATGTGGCTATCCTGTTTTCCCAGCACATTTATTGAATAGGGTATCCTTTCCCCAGTTTATGTTTTTGTATGTTTTGTCAAAGATTGGTTGGTTGTAAGCATTTGGCTTTATTCTGGGTTCTCTATTCTGTTCCAGTGGTCTATGTATGCACTTTCATACCAGTACCATGGTATTGTTTTGGTTACTATAGCCTTGTAACATAATTTGAAGTCAGGTAATATGATGCCTCTAGCTTTGTTCTGTTTGCTTAGGATTACTTTGGCTAGTCAACCTCTTCTTTTTTTATTTCATATGAATTTTATGATTGCTTTCTAATTCTATGAAAAATGATGTTGGCATTTTGATAGAATTTGCTTTGAATCTATAGAATGCTTTGGTCTATACAGTCATTTTCATGATATTGATTCTTCTAATCCATGAGCATGGGATGTATTTCCATCTGTTTGTGTCATTTCTGATGTCTTTCAGAATTGTCTTGTAGTTCTCCTTGTAGAGATCTTTTACCTACTTAGTTAACTAGGTGTTTTATTTAGGTGGCTTATGTATTTTGGATACAAGTCCTTTATCAGATACGAGTTTTGCAAATATTTTCTCCCAGTCTGTGATTTGTCTTCATTTTCTGAACAGTGTCTTTTGAAGAGCAAAAGATTTTTCTTTTCAAGTGCTCATTCCTGGGATGTAGGTAGGATTGCTTCAGAAATATCTGGCCAGCTAGGTGACTTCCTTTCCTGACAGGAATCCTGAACTAGGGGATTAAGAGGATGGTCTGTATCTGGGTTTCAGGAAAGCATTTAAAATTGGTATTAGTTTGCTAGGGCTGCCATAAGCAAATACCCAGACTGGGTGGCTTAAACAGCAGAAAGTTGTTTCTCACAGTTCTGGAGGCTGGAAGTCGAGATCAAGGTGTAGGCTGACAGGTTTGGTTTCTTCTGAGGCCTCTCTCCTTGGCTTGCAGATAGCCGCCTTCTCGCCGTGTCCTCACTTGGCCTTCTCTCTGTGCACTCATATCCCTGCTGTCTCTTTGTGTATCCGGATTTCCTCTTCTAATAAGGATATTAGTCAGAGTGTTTTAGGAACCCCTCGCTAATGGCCTCATTTTAACTCAATTACCTCTCCAAACCCAGTCTCCAAATACAGTCATTCTGAGGTACTGAGGGATTGGGCTGCAACATATGGATTGGAGTAGAGAATTTAATTTAGCCCATAACATGCTCATTTGTGTGGGAACAGCCTACAAGGTCCTTAGGAGTTTAAAGAGTAGATAGACTTTGATATAATGACTAATTTTCCTGTTTCCACTCTTGCCTGCCCAAAACAATTTTCAACACAGTA